GGGGGGGGGGAAGAAACTGAGCTTCTTAGTGGGGACTGACTTAGGTACAGGGCTGGAAGGCCATGTGTGGCAACCTTCTATAAATCTGAAATGTCAGCTCTTGGAATAGTCTTCCCTTACTTAGCAGCCAGCAGAGGGACTGGTGGCCTGTCCTGAGGTCACTGTGTGGTGACTTGGGATGCCTGTGCTCCTGCCTTGTAGTGAACACCGGGAGAATTTTGCACTGGCCCTGGTGTCATGCGCCAGGCCTTTCCTGTAGATATCTCTTTAGAGAGGTGCCACTGGAGGTGGGTACTGAGTGGAGGGGCTGTGCCCTGCTATTTAGGGGCTGATGGTGGCACTTCATGTGGTCCACAGTGCCCTGTGGGGGAGGCCATCCAAGCATGACTCCCGGCACACAGCAGCTTAATGACAAAGGCAGTCTTGGTGGCTGGGAATCTGGGAAGCTATGCCGGTGTCAGAGCAAGGTCTGAAGCTTTGGTGGGTGACAGCCCTGACTGCCAGGGAGCGGCCGTGAGCAGAGCCCCCTCCTAAATGCCTGACTCTGGGTCCTTTCAATTCCTCCCACAGGTGCTGTCCCACAGCAGGAAGGATCCAGGTCACACATCAGTTTGGAACAACGTAGGAAAAAAATCATCAACAACAAACAGCACAAGAAACTGCAGAGGCAAATTGATATTTAAGAAAGCTTCCATTCCATTGGGTTTCATTCAAACCACTTAGGAGGCGGTTAGCTCTTTGAAAATGAAAGCAAAACAGTCATAAGGAAACAAGCTACAGCTGGGCCTGTGTAAAACAAAGTGAGATGAACTTTTATCACCTCTAAGGACCCAAAAAGTGGCGTACTTGCCTTGATTTATAGACAAAGCCTGAGAGGGTGAATGTGTGGCTTAAGACCATGGAGCCTCGCTCTGTGCACAGCCCATGCTGTACAAGACTCTTAGGCATCCTGAAGCTGTGGGCGAGAGCCCTTGGACCCGAGGAAGGCCTAGGAGCACATCCCCACACCTCTCCCTGGCTCCCAAGAGTCACTACTTCCTTTATTTATTCTGTGTTCTTCAGATTTAAATAGACCACTCTGTCAATTGCCATTCTGATATGTTTAAGAGCCACCATCTCTGGAGTGACAAATGCCATCAGTAATGGGATGAACAGAATTTTCCCAAAATTTCTATGTTGGAGTCCTAAACTCTAGGGTTTCAGAGTGACTGTATTTGGAGAGAGGGCTTTGAAAGAGGCCATTAAGGTAAAATGACATCACACGGGTGAGTCTGAGTCCAACAGGACTGGTGTCTTTATAAGAGAGTTAGGACACACACATGCTCATAGAGGCAACCGTGTGAGGATGCAGGAGAGATGGCTGTCAACAAGCCAAGGAGAGAGACCTCAGGGGCAGCCAATCTGGTGACTACTATGTCACCAGAGACTGTGTAAATGCGTGCCCTGAGGCAGCTCTGCCTTCTCCATAATGCAGAAAAGTGGGACAGCAGGACGCCCAAATCTTCCTGACCTGGCCATGGCCGCTGCCGACTCCTTTTTATCATTCCCATGCATTATTAGTTAATAATGAGTTTTCTCTTTTTATAACTAGTAATCAGACTCTGGAGCACCATGGTGATGTCCTTAGTTTTGCATGTCAAATTGATAAAGAGGACTTAATAGTTTGGTCTGCAACCTTAGTGGTGAAACTATGAATTCCATTAGATTTCTTGAGGATAGCACAAGGGTACTTTTAAAAATTATTTACTTTTATCAGTGTGTGTTTGCAGCACACAATGCTTACAGTCCTTGTGTGGAGCTGGCACCAGTACATGCCACGTCTTAGTTCCTTTTTACCCCCCTCCCTCCCCACCTTTCCTCTGCCTCCCTCTCTTGGCCCCTTCCCATTTGAGACAGATCCATACCCTCACTTCCTGTTATCTGTCTTTTATTTTGTCTTTTAGTGATACATTGGGTGGCTCATATAAAAGAAAGCATGTGATAGTTAAGCTTTTCTGTCTGATTTATTTCACCTAACATGGTCTCAAGGTGCATCCATTTTTCTACAAATGATCCAAGTTTATCTCTCTTTATGGCAGAGTAGTAGTCCATTGTGTGTAAAGATCACGTTTTCTTTATCCACTTTACTGTCTTTCTGATTTCCAATCTGTCTAGGGACTGATTATTTTATGCCAGACAAGGGAAAACCAAAGAAAAATAAGAAACAGAAAAGCACACTCCTGCCTTGTCTAATCATGTCAAGTTGCTCCTAAGAACCAAGTCAATAAGATAAAATACTTCCATTAATGCGAATGATAATCGAAAGGGGCTCCATGCCAACCCATGTGCTGAAACAGTTTCACAGATAGCAAGATAGATCAGTTGAATCATGAAAATGGGGTGTAAAAGTAATTGACCACCCTTTGAAAAGAACTCAATAGAGTCTGTGCCTAAAGCACAGTTTAAAGAAGACTCATTTCTCTCGAGAGAAAGTAAAGCCCTTTTGCGGTGGAGCTGGGGGAGCGTGTGGGGCGGTCTCCGGGGATGTATAGGCTTCCTTGTCAGTCTTTTTTGAAAAACACTTTTGGTGCATGGTTATCTTTCACTCAGATTGTGCTTAAAAAATAAGGTTACAGCACACAAATACACATGAAGGCAAAATAAAAGGTGTAGCAAACCAGAGACCTGACATCAGGTGGAAAGAGTAGCAAGTCTGACAAATGAAAATGCGTCCGGGGACCTCGAGTCCTGGGGTTCACGCACGAAGCAAAAGCTTTGGAATCAGCCTCCGAGCTATCTCCAGAACCATTTCCGTGCAACAATCTGACTGGAAACTGGCGTCAACCCACTGAGGGGCGTGATGTGTCTTCTTAGCGCAAGATAATCCATGGATCATTGTGATATGTTTTAAGGCGCAAATGTCATCATGGCAAAAAAGAAGCTAATATTTGTATGGCGATCTCGTGTTCTGAGAGTTGCACCTGAGCAGCTGCGCTGTGGCTTGTCTGTGTGGCCGAGGGGTAGCCAGCCGAGAGGGGATGGGTATGTGCAGGCCAAGTACCAGTGAGCTCATGGTGCAGTAGTGTTGAAGTGGACCCCTGGGACTTGGTGTCTAACTCCAACTGGAGATGCCTGCTTCTCACCCTTGGCAAATTTCACTTCTTTTAAATATTAGGTAGGCTTTGGCTTCTGGGTCCTTCTATGCTTATAACTTGCTGGTTTTCCTTGGCCCACAGCGAACTAAGAATTTACCTGGGTCCACTTGGCGGCTGAGGACAAGCTGCCTTGCCCATGAAGCATTTCAGCTTTAGGTTCCCTCCATCCCTTGGCCCTTCATTTTCCCACCTTCTTAACTCCTTCCTCTTGGGTCCATCCCATTATGTTGAATATATTTCCTTAAGCCTCTTCAATTCTGTTTGGAATAAGGCAGAACAGAAAGAGAAAAAGCATTTTGTTGCTTGTTTGTGAGGAAAAAAAAATTTAAAAAGCAAACATTTTATTCTTGTTTTGGAAGGTTCTATTTCTTAGTAGGTTTAAAGAATAGCATCCTTTTGGGTTTTTTTGGTACCAGGAATTGAACTCAGGGCCTCTCTCTTGCCAGGCAGGCACAGTGCTGCTGAATTACATCCCCGGCAGCATCTTTTAAAATCATTTGTATGTATTTTTCCCCCCAACATTTGGTCATCTGTCCAGTTATGATGTATGTACAGGATTAGAAATGAGTTTGCTGGGGCCGGGGATTTAGCTCAGTGGCTCTGCCGCCTGCCTCACAAGCGCAAGGTCCCGAGTTCAATCCCCGGTACCAAAAAAAAAAGAAAGAAAGAAAGGAGCAACTTTCCTTCTCTAGAAATGAATTTGCTCAAGGTCTGAAAGTGAAAGCATATGAACAAATGTTCAGGGACCTGAAGATAGAGTCCAGACCCTATCAGGGGTAAGAGGAGGATGAGGTGGGTGGTAACCCTGGGCTAGAGGAAAAATCCCAGACTGCTGAATGGTGAAGGCTCATCAGAACGTCCTGGGAATGCTTGCCAGAAATGACTGACATTGCCTTGTCTAATGCGACCTCCAATGACGTATTCATCCGGGCCAAGATGGCAAGGGAAACTATGCAGCTACAAAACATCTGTGGGGCTGTGGTTGTGGTTCTCAAACCTGAGACAGACAGACAGACAGACAGAGAGACAGACAGACAGACAGACACACACACACACAGCCCTGTGGTGCTTTCTATGGCACAGGTTGTTGGACAACACCCAGGGCTTCTGACTCAGCAGGTTCAGGGTGGGGTAGGCCGTTTATGCTTACATGAAGTGTGATAAAAAAATATGGTTGTGTCTAAATGTAAAAACTTTATTATAGTAAAAGACACTGTCATTATTCCACCTCAGAATACTTTCCTTGTTTTGAACACCTTAGTTCCATTGTTCTTGTCCTTTCTGAAGCAGTTCTGGAAGTCCTTTTGTGAGTGTCTTTAGTTGCCCTGTCATGGCTTCCTGGATGTCCTGAATCAATTCAAAAAGTTTACCTTTCATGGTCATTTTGTTTTTTCAGGGAAGAGTCAGAACTTGTATGGTGCCAGACTCAGTGAATGAGGTGGATGAAGACACAACGATACTTTTATGAGCCGTCCTTCACCAGCCTGGATGGTACCTGGCAGCAGCTTTCACAGGATTTTTTTTTTTTTTTTTGGTACCAGGGATCGAACTTGGGACCCTACACTTGCTAGGCAGGCGGCCTTTCACAGGATTTTTAATCACAACTTATAAAGGCATGAAAGAGGAGTTCCAGAACTGCTTCAGAAAGTGGCAGGAAAGATGAGATAAAATGAATTTAACATAAGGGAGGGTATTTTGAAGGGTATAAATGGTAATATGTTTTTTACTATAATCATTTTTTAAATTAAACAATCACCATTGATCACGTCTTGTGTCAAGTTCCTAGTGGTGCTGAAGCTGCTGGTCTGGGGAACACACTTTGAGATCAGTCTGGTGTGTTTCCATGCAGGGTATGACAGCTCTGCCATGAAGAACACATGCTCTCTCCATACATGAGCCTCCAGCCTCCTGGCATCAATGGTGGGTGGCCCAACCAGGATAGTTCTCCCTTCTGCTCCTCAATAGTATCCCTGGGCACCATGCAAAAGCCAAAAAGCCACTTTTCTAAAACCTGTAGGGTTTGCAAAGAGGAGAAGATCAGTGAATGTGAAGACCAGTGAAACAGACTAAGACTTGTCAAGAAGTCTGTTTCTAGGGAGAAATCTTGTCTCAATTAGAAAAGTTACTTTTGCTTATACAGATGGTCCCCCAACTAATGGTAATGGTTCCACTTAAATTTTTTTTTTTTGCTTTTCAATAATGTGAACATGACCTACGTTCAGTAGAATATGTACTTACAATTTTGAATTTGGGTCTTTTCTCAGGCTAGTGATGTATACACAATCATCTCTTGAGATGTTGGACACTGGCCAAAGCTTCCTGTTAGCCACATGATCATAAGGGAAACCACTGATACTCTACAGGGTTCTGTATTGCTAAGGAATGAGGTTCCATGGCTTATGAGTATTCAGTACAGTTTTGATTTGTGATATTCTCAACTTACAGTGAGTTTATAAGGATGTAAGTTGAGGAACATCTGTATTACCTTTGCTTTTGGTGTCATATTAAAAAATCATGATCAAGACTAATGTCAAGATTTCCCCCTATGTGCTCTTCTAGGAGTTTTACAGTTTCAGGTGTTACATTTAAGTCTTTAATACATTTGAAGTTTTTGAATTTAAGTCTTTGTATCCATTTAATCCATTATATTATATTCTTATAATATAAAAATTAATTTTTACTCTTTTCTACAGTGAGGTACAGTTTTCCCAACACCATTTATTGAAGAGAATGTCCTTTCCTCATTTTGTATTTTGGCATCATTGTTGAAGTTTAGTTGACTATATATTTGTGGGTTTATTTCTGGCCTTCCTATTGTGTTCCATTGGTTTAGTATACGTGCTGCGGAAGCGAGCACTGTGTTCCATTGGTTTATAGATCTGGTTTTATGCCAGCACCATACTGTTCTGATTACCATAGCTTTGTAATACAGTATAGTTTAAAGTAAGGCAATATGAGGTCTCTAGTTTTGTACTTTTTTCTCAGGATGCTTTGGCTACTTGGAGTCTTTTGGGATTCCATATGAATGTTTGGATTTTTTCATTGCAGCACTATTCACAATAGCTAAGATATGCAATCAACCTAAGTATATGGCAACAGATAATGGATAAAGAAAATGTGGCATATGTACATAGCATAATATTATCTATCCATGAAAAGAAGGAAATTCTGCCAGTTGCAACAACATCCATGAACCTGGAGGGTACTATGCTAAGCTAACCAAGCCAGACACAGAAAGCAAATACTGCAGTATGCAACATATATGGAATCTAAAAAATGTGAATTCATAGAAGCAGAGAGTAGGATGGTGGTTACCAGTGGCTAAGGGCAGGTCAAAATGGAGAGAGGGTGGCCACTGGGTACAGACTTTCAGCTATAAGATAAATAAGTTCTGTGGATCTAATGTGCAACATGTGACTACTAACAATGCCATATTGTATATTTGAAGTTTGTTAAGAGTGTAGATCTTCAGAGCCCTCCACCATATATGCATACAATGGTAGCTACGTGAGGCGATGGCTGTGTCTGTTTTATTGTGGTGATCAATTCACAGTGTATGTGTGCACCATGGAGAAAAGCTGTGTGGCAGACAGGAAGCAGAGAGGAGAGGAGGAGGAGGGAAGTAACCCTTCCAGACCACACCCTCAGTGATGTGCCTCTTTCTCCAAGTCCCCGCCACCCATCAGCAAGTCAACTCTAAGCCTCATAATTCAGTCACCTTTCAGATCCCTGCCTATGAGGGCATGAGGCTCTTGGGAGACATCTAGATATAAACCATGACACCTGGGGATGAAGAGGTAATATCACCAAGGTAAGAAGAAAGGAAGGGAAATAGCAAAGCACAGCAGCTTCTCCTAGCTGGCTTCAGGAAACCAGAGTTTGCACTGGAGATTATGGAGTCAGACTGTATCTGTAAAGAACTGGGAAAAATTCTCACTGTGCAGGATTGAAGCTTTTCTTTATCCTTGGTCTTATTGGCAAAACAGTCTCAATTTTCTCCTTGATGAATAGTCTGTGGTACCCACTTACCAGCACAACCAAAACAGCCTAGTGAGAAAACAAACGATGTATTATTCCCAGAACTTGTCTTTAACCCAGGAACTTAATGTTGGCATGTGCTCTATTTTACCAATGTCAACTTTTCTTTCCCCAGAAGCATATGTGCCATATCCATTTGAACTTTGCTGTGCTCTGTCATCCTCGGAGGATTGAGGGTTGCCCTAAGTTCCACAGGACCTCATGGGAATGCATCCCAGTATGTTGAATGGGAGGAGAAAAAGGTCTTGGGAAACCATGAAGATCAGTGGGAGAAACTGGGGAAGTGCCACACGGAAAAGGGAATCATCATTTTAGACTGACCCCTTTGCTCTGCTCTTTGATGGCTTACTCTCCACAGATCGGCAAAGCAGTCCTGTTGGCCAGGAGCAGCAGAGTAAACACGGTCCTATGCAAGTTTCACTCTTGTGTGGTGTCAGTGTGGGATTAGAGACCCCAGCCCAGGCAGGAAGGTGTCATCTGGTCCAAGGGAGCTGGCTCAGGTGATGGTTCTGCACCCCATGCCATGGACCATCCTGGGATGTGGTACGAATCTTCCCCAGAATGTGTTCAGGTGAGTGTTGGTCACTGTCCACTGAGAGTCTTGTGAAGGAACTTCCTTCCTTCCTATAAGATGTGTTAAAATTCTTCCTAACTTGGATTTTAAATCTTAGTTCTATGTAAATATATCTATACTTACACAGAAAAACCCATCAAAACAATTTTAATGAAAGAAAAACGTGACAAAATTTTCATGAGAGCAGACAAAGAATATAAAACACAGGTAGGAACCAATGAAAAGATCACACTCAAAAGATAAACCCTTTTAAAAGAAATAGCTATGGGCCAGGGATTTAGCTCAGTGGTTCCGCTGCCTGCCTCACAAGTGCAATGTCCTGAGTTTGATCCTGGTACCAAAAAAAAAAAAGAAAAGAAAGAAAAGAAATAGCTAGAAGTTGAGTATCAAAACTGAGGCTCTCTACCCTCCAGTGTGGATTTTGCCCAACTGAATGTAATTTCTGACAGGATTCCTAAACTTTTAATACAGTGTGTTCACTTTGTGATTTATTTTTGGTCAATTTCCTGGGGAAATTATAATTTTCCTTCCAAAGTAGCAACATTTTAAAGTCTAATTTTTGTTATAACTTGTGGTTAAAACTGTTTTCCATGGGAAAGAATTTCTGATTTTATCATGGAAATCAATGCATGGTTTGGTTCACAAAAAAGTCACTTTGCAGACTGGGGATCAAAGCCAATCCTCAAAGCCAGCTGGAAAATCCCCAGGGGGCACCAGCACACCATCCTCCAGATGTTCCACCCCAGCCTGGCCTCCTGTGCACCATGACTGGTATCTGGGTCATAGTTCCTTAGACCCTTAGAAAACATAGGCCTTGGAACCTACAAACAGCTTCCTCTACTCTTACAAAGCAGCAGGAATACCTGGATTTTCTTTTGGGCAATTTTGAGGGTGTTTGTTAAAGGAAAAAAGTGATTTGGAGAAAACAGGTAAAAAAAATCATTAAAAGACTCTAAATCCTTGTAAATTAATGCCATTCAGGATATGCTGGCTGGTATGTCCAGGAGGGAATCCCATCAAAAGTCCTCCCAAATTTAGGGAGGGAGCTACATAGGCAATACTCCTGGTTATGAGCCAAAGCACTTAAGATTCAGGTTTCCTCAGTGACTGTCCCTTGCCTGAACTTTTCTCTCTGGAATGTTTGGAAGTCAAGGGAAAGTCTAAGTGAGTTCACTCAGGAGGCATTCAGAGACACAGGGGCTGTCTTTCAAGCTCATTCTTCTTGGTTTTCACGAAAGGAACAGATTTCATATACATGAAGGATTTATTAGGCAGGTTTACAATGGCCACCTGTGGAATCAGGGCGGAAGAATGCAAAATGGCTGCCTCCATACTGAAGATCCAGTCAAAGTTTGAAGGCCTGGAGTTCACTGCAGAGTTCAGTGTGAGTCAGTGTTGGAAAGCTGAAGGGTCTGCATTGGAAGGCTGAAGAGTCTGTGCTGGAAGCCTGAAGGAACTAGAGATGAATGTCCAAAGGCAGTGGCAAAGATGAGCTCCTCCTCTGAAGGAAAGGGAAGATTTCCTTCTTCTTTCTCTCTTTATCCTGTCCAGGTTACAAGCCTGTTGGTTGGCACCACCCATAATGGTGGGTCTTCCCTTTTCAGTTTATGTCTACACCTCAGTCATCCACAAACACACTCACAGCTTCACTCATCTGCTAGGCAGCTCTTCTGTAGTCAAGTTGATACGCCACAATTAAAGATCATACCCCACTCCCCTGAGTGTGCCCTCACCACAAGCTCAGGTGACAGAGACCAGATAGGCCCATTGGATTGGCCAAGTTGTCACTGCCTCTGGGCTTTAGGGCTGGTCTGAACTAGCACCTCACTCTCTGGGAGCACTCAGTGTCCTGCTCAGGGGCAGCAGCCCATACCTGGGGCTCCCCCACTGCTGGCCACAGACAGCCTGCCTTGCTGTGGGCCATGGACTCTGGGTTCTGAGGGGCATGCAGTGGGCAACTTGTAGGCTGTAGCCTGCAAAGCAGAATGGAGATGGCCTAGGTCTGTCATATTGTTGCTTTATAATTTTTGTTTATTTGTTTCTTGTTAGAGAACAAATGTATGTCATGGTAAACATTCTTATAAAAGTAAAAATCTGAAAAGGAAGTGGGCCACAACTGGTTTGGCTGACTCTGATCACCTCATCAGCTCCCTGCTTCAACTTTGCAGCCCTACGGATGCTTCCCCCACAACAGCTGGGGCCATCATTAAAAAATGGTCATTTCTCAAGGGGGATGCTTAGGAAGGACATTCAGTCGTGACCGAAGTGTATTATGTGCACGTATGAATCTGCCAAAATGAAGCCCATTAATCTACTT